AGGAGCATGATTACATAGCAGTTGGAGTTGCCACGGGATAAGTCAGGTTATCCCAGTGTAGCACGTACGGTTCCAGTTGCTTCCGACCATACAATATGTGGCCTGGAATCCTCTACTAAATTATAGGGATGGCCGTATACTAGGCAAGAGATAATGTAAGGTACAGAATACAACTAAAGAAATTATGTAAGAAATGAAAACAAGTTACACACACTGCACGAAACGTACAGTTTCAGCAGTTACAACACACAGCATATGCCACTACGTCTGCTCAACTATCACTGCATTTTAATTTCTCCTCTTTAATAACTCTGCGACTTCATCATCAACTTTAAGGATTAGGCCAAATCGCCTTTACCAGCCCCACAACAATTTCCTTTGACTAATATTATTTTATACAGCCCTACGATATATTTAACGACAGTAGCGTAAATGGCTTAACTTTCCAGACAGTGAAGAGAATTATTTAAACATCAACGTTACAAATGGTTAAAAATGGCGCTTAAATTTGAAGTTCGAGACGTTCTCTCGAAAGAATAAAGGTGGTGTGCTATGCTTTCTCATAATAATTACGAAAAAATACAATTAGGTCTTACACAATTGTGTAGTACTTCATGTTAATTACCACTTAAATATCCTTACACGACCTATTTAATACTATAATTTCATTTAGGCTGAAGTTTGTACAGCCCTCAGAACAATTAGCTTAGATGTTTAGAGCGAAATTTCAGTGTGTTTAATTTTAATGTAGATTACCTCACTCCCATTGTTACTGACATATGCAACAGTGCTTTCATCTGCAGTTAATATGTTTAATGAAGAAGCAATCACTTCCGTCAGTTCGATCTTTATGTGGTAACTAAACCTGCCCCACTAACACCCTTTCGCTCCTTAAAGTTTAATAAATTTTAGTGTCATTCACTGTTGATACCCGAAATAAGCAAATAATTCGGCCAAAGGCATACATACGAACTATATAAACAGAAAACATACCAAAAGTATGGCTGGTCGTTGTGTGAAAATTCCTCTCACCCCCTTTTAATGAAATTCTGGGCACGGTCATGGATGCATATATGTCGTGGTTTCTAAATGTTTACAATATTACAGATCTCCTAGTCTACGTTTAAAGGTTAGTTACAGTTTTACTAGTTCTGTTAATATCTCAGACAAGATAAACTAAACTGTGTTTTATTCTGGGTTAAGCAAACACAGTACTCTGCTGGCCCATGTAGACACACTGCTGGCAAGTGGAACATTATTCTACGTCGTACGTTTCACATGCGTTATCTTCATTTTAAATATTCTGGCACTAAATGAGGGATTGTTTTACATAATTATGAACTAAAATTACAATTGTTAGACCCAAATCATATCTGCTGACATGTTAATCTTTCATACAGCAGGATTTATTCATTTACTGTACCTGATATATAGCTGTGCACATTTTCGGACGGGTTTGATGGGTGGACATCACATCGCTACCAGTTACACGCTGAAGGTCGCCGTTTGAAATCTGTATGCTTGCAGCTTCTCTGTTAACATTTTACACAACACCAAATGATTCCCACACACATTTTAGAATGCAGTATCACACTATGTCACACTCATATCGTACCACTTTCACAAGAAATTACCGATGATAAGAATTTCACAATTTTTGTTCACGAAACCTTCGCACATGTTCCACTAACGTTCACCAAACATGTCTACTTGCCGCAGTCTGACTCGTAGACATTCGGCTGATACTTCGGAAATTTTCCCGAACATAGACCATACAGAGAGAACAAATGCTCGCTGCAGGGCCTATCCGAAACTCCTCAATATGCATGCGTCATTTTAATGTAATGGCTGCGTTTTAATTGCTGCAAGGGTACTGGGAAGTATTTTGTTAGCCATCAGATGCAAAATAACCTTAGTAAACACTGAATATTCTATCCATACAAATAACTCTACCGATTGGTTGTTTCCAAAAACAATTCTCCACAAAAATGCTGCGTTCATGCCTTGTTTGCTGTACGAATCACTTGCACAAGGTCACAGAATTCCTGGTTACGTAATATCTTATAATGAAAGAAAATAAATAACAATATCATAAAGAAGTTAAGTTAACAAATACGATATAATTACGCAAATAAATAATTTTTGTGCTGAATAACAACAATAAGGAACTGTAAGCAATTATTCAACATTTTCGAAAGCAACCTTACATTGTTCTCTCGACGTCTTTTTGTGATGGTATATTACTACTTTCTTTGTCCTGGACTTCATTCATCATCTGTTTTTCTAAGCCTTAAAAACCTTAAAACCATAAAAATCACTGTCTCAAGATGGATGGATCTTCTTTTGTCTTCAGGTAAAAGAAAGGGGAAGACCTACTATGTTGAATCCGTTATACCGACCTGTTCCCGATCTGTTGATATTAAAGTTTCAATATTTTTAAGGTTTAAAAAAGCGACGCATAAATCCCAAAGAAAGCACTTTATTTTAGTTTTCAGGAAGGGGATCTAGATCCGAACATAGATGACAGCCCCACAATTCCTGTTCACAGGTACAAATTGTTCTATCCCGCCGAGATTCAACATTTAGTTAGTAAAACAAACTCCCTGAGTCACGTTTCATTGAGCAAAGTGACGATATAAAAGACTGTTTGCCTCAATGGGTCAAATGCCAATTCCAATAAACGAATCCTCGCAATATCGAAGAAAATGTCGCGTAAGTAATATAAAACAGTGGTCTATAAACTGCGTAATAAAACATTACTTTCCAGTGCAGCGTGATTTGATACATTTGACTAAATTCATATTTTAATTAAAAATTAATTATTCTGAGAAGATTAAGAAAGAATTCTTAGAAGATATGGATGCCTTTGGATTTGGGGGGAGGGGGGTCATTCCCAAAATATTGAAGATACGCATTAGTAAAAATAGAATTATTCAGAATCCCCGGTTTAATTCTCAGACAATGGTTAAAAGTTGCATTTGTTCCCTGTGATACTACCTCATTTAAGATGCAAACAAAGTCCATACAACTGGAACGACATGTGATCAAAATCGCAGAAAAAATTCGTAGATGGTGCAGTGTTGTCTTTCGCACTTTTTATACGACGGCCAGAGGAATCCGAAACCTTATTTTTGCTTTTAAATAAGGTTTTCATAACTGTTTTCTATTCTCTTGCAAATCAGCAGACATTTTTCTTCAAACAGGGCATAAGAAACTAATAATTTCCCATGAACACTTATCTCTGTTATAAAACGATTGTTTAAAAAATCTACTATAAAATTGTGAGTTGTTTCATCTGAAGACACACTCTTACAGCCATGACAAGAAGAGCAAATCTAACCCCGTACACACCAGAGGGCATAAATTAAGGTCGAGCTGAGTGACGTTTGAATTTGGGTAAATGCGACGAACTGTAAATCTCTGTCACAGATTGCAGCTTCAAAACAACAACCGGTGGACTCTGCAGCTGATGTGTCATTATGGGCTCGGATTAAGGGCAGATGGTGGATGGTAATTAATTAGATTTAAATGTCTTCAGAGCTGAATTTGTTCATCGTTCCAATGAGTATTAATATTTACTGGAAAATTAATAACTTGCACATTGGTAATCAAAATTGTACGGATAGCTATGGCAATTAGCAATGATTGGTATGATTTAACAAAAGAGTAAATAATGAGTTTGTAATAACATACTCTAATATTAATTTTATATTTATCGCAGATCGATATCGCCTATTATATTGTCACACATATGAAAAGGATAGATTAAAATTAAAAATCTAATTTGTACGTAGACAGTAATATACGAGCCATATAAGAAATTATAATGTACTAAATGTATGAACAAAACTTTCTTTTTCACATAATGAAGAAATATTAACATTTTCATACAATGGATTCTTTCTTCCGAGCTGCTTCATGTAATTTCTCAACGTGATATCCCATTCAGATAAACAGTAGTAAAACAAAAGAAGGAAAAGGAAGAACAAACGAAATTTGAGACGCACAGAATCCCAGAGGTTTGCAGACCGAGTCAGAAAAAAGCAGCAGGGAAGAGAAATGAATTAGAATATTTATACCTTTAACATCTGAAGTTCATAAAAGAAAATTACAAGCTTATTATTCTCATTTCACTCCCTCACTTTTTTCTGCGAAAGAAGCTGAAAGTCAACTGGATTCCTTTCCCTCCATTTTTATATTAAAACGTGCAAAGAGCTGGTATATTATGGAAAGCCGAATGTTTGCCTTTTATAAACACTCCTATTAAAGAAGAAATCCCCACAAACTTACCGAGACAATCAGAGATCAAATCTTTTAAGAAACAGATCTTAATTGTGCTTCAAAGACTATGTCGATGATACATAATACGAGCAGTCAACACAATTTGAGAAGAGGTATCATCCAAATTAGTCCTCCGAGAATCAAGACAGAGGATCTGTGTAAATATGAGAACAGCATTTTTTAAGGAGACTTGATATAAACTTTGAATCTATTGTTGTTTATTTTGGCAATTATTTGACTTTCTACGATGTAAAGTTAACGCACGCATGAACCATGGAATTCAGCCACTACTCCGGAGTCCAGTGCGTTTTCATTTAGATCACGAAATGATTTGCCGTAGTATACGTTTCAGCCACTCCAACAATTCACAACAGAGTCTCAGTCTCGTTTTGTACACATCTTCGCTCTGGGGCGGTGGAAAACCGTCACATGTTAACGTGCTTAATACAGGGGAGATCCCTGTAATAAGTACGTCTAATCTGTGACAATTCTGGACTGTTAAAATACACTAATTCATTTCTCAAAGGTACTACATTTATTAGCTTATTTACGTCGTTGTATCAACTGTTGGTGTAGTGAATGGGTAGATGGGATGGCATTGTACATAATTTGTCTTAGTGTTCGTAAGTGTAGCGCAGGAACTAACTAACGTGTTGTTACTCTGTTCGTCAAGAAATAAAACAGTGTGAAAAATACAAAGACACAATTCTATCTGTCCATTTTCCTTTACTATTGAAGCAGACCAGAAGACAATTTCGTGAAAACTTTTCGGGTTAAGAGAACAGGATAATGTGGATGAACACTTGGGAGTTGGGGGGCGGGGAGAAGGAAGATTTTTATAGAAAGGAAGACGACAGGAAAGTGCCTGTCCTTCCCGAATGCTCTCTCATAACGCAGAATCTCACATTGCAGAAAACGTAGTAAGTTGCTTTACAGATGTGTGGTGCACCGTGAGAACGTGAAATCTCACTACATGTAAAGTGTCTTGTTCGATTAACAGCTGTGTCTCAGATATTTCGCAGATGTAAAAAAACTATATTCGTTGTCGAATTCGCGAAAATGTACACTTCAAGAACGAGACATTGAAATCGGAATTTGGAGGAAGGTCTGTGGAAGGAATACTGAGTTAAATAAGACGGCTCCTACTGCAGTTTCAGTGACGGAGAACTTTGGTTACCCCGTCCTGATGATTGAGGAGGCAGGGACCTCTGAAACGTCGGTAAACTTTTAACAGACTACACGGCGCTACAACCCAACAGACATCAATCTTCAAAGTGTCACGATGAACTCTTAGAGTTTACAATGTCCCCAAGTAACAGCTGCAAGAGCTCTCTCTGGTTAACACTCGCTGTTATGGAAGAGTAATGCAAAGAAGACCATGTAGAAGGAATAATACAGTCACTGCAAAACATATTACAGAAATCAATAACTGGAAACACGACCAACCGGCTTTGTACTTATAATTTCATATTTTCGTGGTGTGAATTTGAGTAGTGGTTATCTGAGTTATATTATATTGTAATCTTCTGGTTGAATAAGGACGTTTCAGACGACCATGCTGTCTCCATCTTTAATTCTGAATATATATTAACGCGAAAAGGCATCCACATACAAACTGACATTCCAAATGAAGATCCCAATGCTAGACAGAAACAAGATCTTATATACGGGCCTTAGATCACCTACGATATCTTATCGACTCGGAAACCGTCTGTTTTCATCGAGTTTTGTCGTAATCTTCCTGAGTTCCCTAGACAAATGCAGGGCTAGTGCTTTAAATTAAGGCCACGACCTCTTTCACATTCTTTCCAATTAATTATTCATTAATTATCTAACCATTCGACGGTATACAGTATGAGCTACTGAAAGAGTCACTAATTAAATCATAAACTGCGAATTCCATCAAAAATTAAACAGGCCGCTAGCTCACAACCAAGCAATGGCTGTACAACTTGCAATTTTTATTAACAAGCTGCCCGTAGGCGATAATACTTGATTATATGGACAGTTCTCACAGCGTAGCAATGAATTTCGTTTCACTGCAGCATCCGAAATGCATCGTTCGGATACAACGTTGAAGTGGTTTTCACATCGAATGCCTAGAACTGAGTTACTAGCACCTGCCCCATCCTCTGCACTCAAGGAAGTAGCGTCACCTGTCGATACAGCTGCACTGAACGCGGTGCACGTGTTCCAATTACGGATTCAGAAGGGCCGATGATGGTTGCGTAATAAATTGCTTAACCTGCAAGATGTAAGCTTGTATTCATAGATCAACATAATTAAGTTCGTGAATAAACAAACAAACATTTTAAAACAGTGACACGGATAGAAAATATATTCACGTGGTTACACGTTAAGCCACATTTATTAAATGGGAACTAGTTCTTTTTTTAAAAAAATTAAAATAAATTTTATCTTTGATTATGTTTCTGTTACTTA